GATACCATGTCCACCCGCCCCCACCCTGCACTACGAATCTGCCTTGCCTGCTGCTCCAGCTCTGCCCCCTTGCGCCCTGTCCTCTGTGTCTTGAGTGGGGGGGGGGTCCAGGCCCCCCGAGGCCACATGTTTCTTATGTCATGCTGGAATCTGGGTGAAGTCAGCAAGCCTGAATTGGTGCTGGATTCATTTCCAGGGCTCAGCTCAGGGCTTGAGGCCCATGAGGGGATGGTGAGCCCCCAAATGCCTGCGGGACCAGGCACAGACCGTGGCCCAGGCATGAGACAGCCAGGGAGGAGCGGGCCAAGGAGGCCGGGCCTTGCCCTGGGGGTGCTGGGGGGCCATGGGTGGCAGCAGACCAGGGGAGGGACCAGTCGGGTCTTAGCTAGGGCCCCCCACAGATCTCGGCGGATCCCGGAGGGAAGCAGGTGGCCGAGTGGTTGTGGGGCGGAGGTTCCTGTTCACACTCAAGGTCAAACCTTGGCTCTGCTCCTGCTCGTGAGATAGTGGGGGCCCCATTTCTGAGAGCCCCACGCCCTAAGGGCTGAGCTCGCTCCCTGAGTCCTGACCTGCTCTGACGTCTCCCGACAGCTCCCCCCGGATGTGGCTTCTGTTATCAGCCTGACCAGGCCACCATCCTGGACTCTGTCCAGCTCCCGGAGTGGAGCCCCAAGGAGGCCGCTGGTGAATCTGGGGCTTGGGGCGGGGGTGCTTGGGCCTCTGGGAGACATTCCTCAGGTCGGCTCCTGAGCTGACTTGATATGAGTGTTCGACCCAGGGACGTGGCTGTGATCAATGGTGTGGCCGATGGGGTGAGTGCCCCGTCACAGGAGGAAACCAAGCAGGGAAAGGCTGGGCTGGGTCTCCAGGGGAGGGCGCTTGTCCCGAACTCTCTTGGCTCTGCGTGCCCCCTCTCAGGTCCATAGACCCCGCAGGGCTTTTCTGGAAGAACTGACCCAGCGGGCTTTTATTGAGTTCTGACTGTGTGCCAGGCACGGCTGACAATCCCCACGTGGAGGTCACGACCTAGTGGGAGAAAGCTGACACAGGGAGGTGTCACACAGAGGGGGTCGGGGTCTCAAGGGGTCGTTTCCATTTCCGCAGAAGCCGACAGGAGGCGAGCAGTGAGTAGGGCAGCATGCACCAGGCAGGGGGCACAGCCAGTGCAAACGCCCACCCGGAGGAGTGGCGAGAGCTGGCTGCAGCACAGCGACTGAGGGGGCAGGAGTTAGGACGTGGGGAGGGGGCTCCCGGCACCGCAGACCCTCTGGGGGCCAGAATCTGCCATCGGCCGCAGGGTGAGGGTTTCTGAGCCGGCGGTGGCCACCGTCTTATGGTTCGGGGTTGTCAGGGCCTGACCAGGAAGGCCTAGCAGCGTCTTGCCAGGAAGTCTGCACCCAAGAGCCCCTGCCTCTCCCCTGCACCCGGCACTCGGGGCCCCAGCGGGAGGCCTGTCCACACTGCTAATCTATCTCCACAGTTAATGCCATTTGCTCAGAGGAAAGCGGATTAGCTAGGTGGGGGGAATCACTCCAGGTCCCCCCTCTGCCCCGGTGCTGGCTCCTGGGCACATTTTGGGGGGGACTCGGGCGACGGGGGAGTGCATGAGGCAGGCGGGCTCAGGTGAATCGAGTCTCTTGAGAAACTCCCAGAGGTGGGTGGTGTTCAAATCCTGGACACTGGGCCTCACGGGCTCGCAGCTAAGATCTGGAAGCCTGGGATGGGGTGGGGTGATGGGGAGTGAGGAGCTGCCTTTCTCCGCCACCCACAACTGTGTGCATTCAGGCAAGTGTCTCTTCTTCTCTGAGCCTGGTTTACTAACCTGTCATCACAATCATGCCTGCCTTTTGGATGATGCGATCACAAAAGAAAATGAAATTGTAAGGGTCCAGGTTGCACACACATCAGGGGGGTGAGCTCCTCATCGCCGAGGGAGACGAGGCAGGTGATGGCTGTGGTTCAGCGGCAGAGGTAGGGTTTTGGCCCTGAGGACCGCCCCCCACCCTGGCCCATAGGCACCTTCCGGGATGCCTGCCTGCTCTAGCCGGCTCCCAAGTGAAGAGGTTCTCAGCCTCCAAGAGGAAGCAGCACTTCATCAACCAGGCAGTGCGGAACTCGGACCTCGTGCCCAAGGCCAAGGGGCGGAAGAGCCTCCAGCGCCTGGAGAACAGTGAGCTGGGCTCGAGGGGCGCCTCCCGCGGGATCCCAGGCCTTAGCCCAGAACGGCGAGGGTGTTGGCACCATCTGCTCCCTTACCAGGAGCCCGGCCCTGAGCTGGGCCCTGCTAGGGCTGGGCCAGAGGGAGCTCTGGGCATTGGAGCAGGGGCTTTCAAGGATGTGTAGGAGCTCAACAAGGCAGGACGAGGTGGGAGGAGTTCTGGACTTTGAATGCCTCTGGGAAAGACGTTGGAGCTTGGAGGCAGGGAGGCTGGTGCCAGTCAGAAACCAAAGGCTGTAAATGTAGAGGTGGGGTGGGGGGAGAAAAGATGGTCGGGCGGGTCTCCATGGAGCCTGGGGACCCCAAATGCCACACCCCAGCCCAAAGACCATCTGCTTCCTCTAGCCCAGTACCTCCTGACGCTGCTGGAGACAGACGGAGGCACACCCGGCCTGGAGGACGGGGACCTGGCACCCCCCGCGGCGCCCGGCATCTTCGCGGAGGCCTGTAATAACGAGACCTATGTGGAGGTGGGCCCGTCCCCCATCTCTTGCTCCCTCCGCTCCAGCCACGCTGGCCTGTTTCTGTTTAGGCTTTCACCAAGAGCACCCAGCTTCCTCTGGCCCATTGATGAATGCGCTTTAGTCTCCCCCAGGTCCCTAGACCACGCCAGAACCCTCACCCCACCCCAAACCTTCCAGCGCCCACGATCTACCTGCCTGTCCATGTCGACACCCCTCCCTAGACCAGCAGGTCTGTTGGTGCCCCGTGAAGTCTTGACCGGTCTGGCGGGCCGAGGTGTCCACAAGGAGTGTCTCCATGCACTTTGAGACACTCTGTGTGCACTGACCAGATGGGGAAACCGAGGCCTAGAGACATGCCATCATCGTGCCATCATCATGCCATCAACAGCTCAGGGCCTGCCCGCCCCTATTCCAGG